CAAATAAGAACCACATTTATGACATTTCTTTGGAACCATGGGCATTGATGTAGTACAGAAAGCCCAATAAAGGAAATAAACTTACTTTAGGTCCAAATTAAAATAAGGCAATAATGATCTCATTAATGGGATTTATTTTATGATTTATATTTTTTTCCTTTCAATTAGGTTGAATTATCCATATGATGAAAATAACTAAAAGAATTTTAAATATATGTTAATTAGGATAGTAGTCCAAGATAAGATTATTTTCTTTTGAATTCAATATATTCATATTTTCTATAAATAGGATAAGAATAATATAAGAGTTTAAGTCTCTCTTATTTCTCTCTTGAAAATCATTGTACCCGAACTCCTCCCATTTTCCTTACTAGCAAACAAGATCAACCTCCCACACATGGGGAATTTTTTTATAAGCTCCCAATTAATGATACAAAAAGCTCAACCTCAAGAAGTGCTCACAATAAGGCCAATAAATTGAATAATAAGTTATTTTGGAAGTTGAATTGTCCATTTGATAAAAATACTAATAAACGCTTTAAATGTAAATTATTTAGGATGCTAGTCAATCTAGATAAGATTATTTCATTTGAATTCAGTATATTCATATTTTCTATAAGTAGAAAAAGAATTTTTTAAGAGTTTAGCTTGAAATGAAATAAGAAATTATTCCCTAAATCTCTCTTATTTCTCTCTTAAAAATTATTTTACTCAAACTCCTCATTTCCATTTTTTCTTACTAGCAAACATCATCAACCTCCCATAGGAGTATTTTTTATGAGCTCCCAAATAATGATAAAAAAAACTCAAGCAGTGCTCAGCACAAGTGTTGTGATAGGATTCTCACTAGTTAAAATTCATCATGAAAAGCTCTTCATTGGGTGATTGAGCAAACTCTAATAACAGAATGCATTGAGAGGGTTCCCATTAAGTAAATCTCAAGGAGCACAAAGTCGAGTGATAGGGCTTTTGCCTACTCAAAACCCATAGGAGGATTTTATCGAGGATTATGCTATAGGAAGATGCTCAATGCAGAAAAAAGATTTCTAAAGGGTAGAAGATATGACATTACTTCACCAAAAAAAAATCACTCACCCCTTGACATGGAAACTAAATAACCTTTTGATTGGAAGTCAAATCCTAAGAATATTGGGTATCAAATTGGATCAATTCAACCATTGATAGGGGCGAATCTCTTTATAAACTTCAAAAGGCAACCTATTCTAAAATCCAGGCGTTAGGTTGAATCGACACCACATATCTCTTCAAAGGGGTGGGACAGATTAAGATTCATGGTTACTAGCTCAAATTAGTTTCACCACTCAAACCTTCACAAATACCTTTCTCTAGAAAGACAACGCCATTCAAGTTCCTTAATATCAAGTTGGATCAATTCCACCTTTCCTAGGGAGCAACCGTTGAAAAAACCACCACCTTAAAAAAACCCTACAAAGGGCCTTGAATGATAGACCGATTAGGTTCTCCACCTACTTCAAAAGAGTAAACTTTCAATGGCTAACAAAACAAAACTACTTCAATGATATATTTTTGGAGATGACATAAGAGTTATGTTGAAATAAATACTCAACGAAAGTGGTTAAAGGCAAACTTGAAGATGACATGCGAACTTATCAAATCGTCTTGAGAAATTATGATAAAAATTGTCAAGACAAACTATGCTTGAAATTTCATCCCTACTCAAATTCTAGCAATCTTAAAGGTCGATCAGAAATAAAATCTTGTAGGATATTCTCGTTAACAATAGTAAACATCATATGCCATTATTAGAATGCATGACTAATTCATCATTTACAATTATACAGCATCTTCCACGTGATGCATCAGGTAAATCATGATAAATAAAACTTACCATCATTAAAATAACAAAGATTTTTGGGCACTAACCCAATCTGACTACGAATTGGCAGGTAATTTGCGTCCCTTGTCTATTAGAGAAAAAACTAAAATTCAAAAAAACAAAATCGAGAACTGATGTGTTTTGCCTTAATGAGGCAAGACGTAAGTCTCAAGAAAGAGAAAACTCAAAAAAATTAAAAATAATTCATAAATATGATATAAACTATTAATATGTTGATTTAATTTATTATCATAAAGATATAAATCACAAAACTTAATCTTAAATATCGATATAAAATAGAAGTTTGAAATGTGATTCAAAGTAAACATTCACTTAAAATATAAATATTTCATATGTTATAAGATCCATTGTAGCTTCGTCTATGCTTTCAACATTTTCATAATAATCATCATATTCATTAAAATCTAATTCTATCTCAATTGCAACTTTAAAATATTTTTCATTCATTGTACTTTTCTTTTAATATCAATTAATATGAAATCCAAAATAATTTAAAATAAAATAATAAATTAATAACAAAATCAAGTAATCACTTAAATTATATTTTGATTTTACTAGGCATTGTATCAAATACATACAACATAATATACTTTTTTTGCACAACTTGATCGAAACCCTTACCTCAAACTCCTCGAGGGCGTACGCCTTAGACGAAAATTGCACAAGCCTCAGTTCAAGGCACACCTTGAGGTGTAAACCTCAAACGCCATTTTAAACAATGAAACATTTTTACAAAAGTGATGGTTTTTCAATTCTTTTTTTTCCCACAACTGCTTAGAGCTTGAATATCCTACTCGTCTAAGTGGAAGCATACATTTGATGATAGGACAAATTTTAGAACACATGATGACATTCACAGGAAAATAATGATTTTTTTTTTTTGTATTTAGATAAGAGAACAACTTGTAGTGATTATAAAAAAAAATTCCAGACAAAATCACTTACATCAAGAGATCCAATTTCTCACCCATATTTCATAAAAAAGATGGGATTTAGACATGCCAAAGTTTTAGGCACAGTTGTGAAAATCGGACCGAACATTAACCGGAAAAAGAAAAGGTTCAAGGTTCATTGGTTCGACTGGAGTAAAATCAATGGTTGAACCGAATTACATAATAAATATAAAAATTAATTAAATAACATAATAATGGTATATTACATGTAAATACTAACTAAAAAGTAATCAAAATTGTATTATAAAACATAAAGCACACATAAAAATAAATTCGATAATTTTAAATATAAAAGTATATAATATTTGAATGACTAACCTCATATTTATAGCACAACAAAGTAGATCTTTCTTTAAAATCTTGTATTTTGTATTCTTTTCTTCAAGATTTGATAATCTAAATTAAAATGCAGATAAGAGAAAATTAAGATTAATTAAAAAACTACATAACTTGAAAGCCACGACCACATCTCTCCTTTCCTCATATAATATCAAATATCACTATTTAAGCAAGAGGATATAGCAAAACATTACATTCCTCTAAATTATTGTTCCATAATAATCACACAACTTTTATATAAATTAGTCACATTCTTTTGTACAACAAATCAAATAAACTAAAGTAAATATTAGCTTTATACAGAAAATAACAGTAATCAACCCAAATATACATAATAATTTTAAATAAAAATATAAAATAACTTTCATTCATGGAAAAAAAGTTATTTAATATAAAAATATAAAATAACTTTCCTTCCTTCCACCACATCATTCATGGAAAAAAAGCAATGCAGTCTAATAAAAAAAACACCCCGGTTATTTAAAATTGCAGTCAGTTCAACGATCGACCGATTCGACTCTGGTTTTTCACCAATCCAATTCTAATTATTCAAAATCTGGTTATATCTAATGTCCAGACCGGCTACCCTACCGATTCATAGTCCGACTGGTCCAACCAGCTGGTTCGGTTCGATTTTAATAACCTTGGTTTTAGATCACCATAAAGGCTATCAAAAGCCTACTTCTAAACTTTTGTATAATTTATTCTCATGTTTGACCAAAAAATTAGTTAAAACAATCTTGTATAAAATTCTAGCAATCTAATTTCAAGAGACATAATGTTTAATAAAAAAATAATAAGGTTTAAAAATTCATAGATAAAGGACCTACACTAGGAACGATGTGCAGAATATCAATAAGATAATGAGAAGTTTCAATATATCTACACACACACACACACACACACCTACAAGAGCCTTTTATGCAAGATCTTTGTTGATGAACTCAACAGACCGTCAAATCTCTCTGTCCACCAGAATTGCTTGAGGATGTAGGTTCCTTCACAAGTTAAGTCATGTCATCCTTTCGTTCATTTAAAATAGCATTTGAATCACAAGGAGAGACCATAGTATAAATAAAAGATGAGAAAAAAGAAAGCAAGGTGACATGTGAATTTTATTTGTAGGAGAAGGGAAATTATATTAAAGAAAATCATTCCCCACACCATCAAGGCAGAGGATATGATTAATGAGCTTAGCACATCATCACAAAAAAGGCTCGAATCTAGATCCAAACACTATTCCACCTCTTCTATAATTGAACTCACAACAAATCATGTTTGGTAAACATTTATGACTTCTCTGTCATCGTATGAGATCTAAGTTATTAGGATTTAAATCCTGGATGGGTAAATCCCAAAAACTGTCTAGCAACCGATTTACTAAATCCACCTCGCAAGATTTAGTAGATCTGGGATTTATGGCTGAAATATGTGAAATCCGGATTTATCAAATTTGCTGCTTTATTTTGTCCAAAATGACTGTCCGGCAGGATTTAACATACATCCAGCTTAAATCCGCAGCCCCTTATGGCTTTAAGAAACACTGCTTGGTTCATAAGTTCTAAAAGGAATTTCAGTTGAGGTGCCAAAACCCGTTTCCATTACCCTTGTGAACCAAATCAACACTTAAGCAACATTGCATCGACAACCATGGAACTATTGTGAGGCCAAACTTCCAAGTCACTATTTTTTTCAACTGTATTTTGTGTGGATCTGAGATCCTAAATCTAATAACATAATTATCGTATAATTTAGATCGTACTAATTTATTCCAGCACGCAGCAAAAATAATTATAAAACCAGACGAATATGTTGTTTGCTTCACATACCTCCTCACTAGCAAGCTCGCACTTGTTCAAAACAAGAGTGAGCGGAATCCCAGTGGATTCAGCCTCAACCAAGAACCGAGTTAAAGTAAAAGGCTCCAATTTCGGCTGCTCCACTGAAAAAAGAACCAGAAAATGGTCCACATTCGCAACAGGAGGATCAATAAGCTCCGTTTTCCTCTCAAACACATCAAAAACCATCCCCCTTCCATCCACCCAATCCACCCATCCAACCAAAACTCTGTCTCCGACCAGTACCCTTCTCCTAATTTTCTTTAGCAGAGCTCTCACGACGCAAAGTAAATGCGTCCCTACCCTCCCGCCGGAATCAGAGTCTCCAACGGAATCGACGATGACGCGCATGAAATTGGCCTGGGAGGCAGCGACGAAGCCGGTGGCCTGATCAGGGAGGAGATTCAGGTTTTGTTCGGGTGAGAGGAAGCGGGAGAGGGAGGGGAGATCCTTAATAACGTTTCTGGCTTTGAGAAGATTCTTGTTAGGGGTGTGGCGGCGAGCGGTAGAAAAGAAGATGGTATTAGCTGCTCGTCGGTGGAAGGGGACGGAGGAGGATAACGGGAGAAGATGGCGAATGAGGCGATAGCGGAGGAAGGAAGCCGGCTGTAGGAGCGGCATTTGGCGTGGACATCGGCACCAGAGCAGCAGGAA